AAAAAAAGATAAAGTTGGTGAATGATAAAGACCGTATTTTCCACGCTTTGGGTGCAGGACCAGATGATCTAGAAAATGAGCTGAAATAGATTCAGGCTCAGAGCCTGTTGTGAGGAGCAGCTGATTCCCCCATTCCTGGCCAGATGGCTTCTGAACACAGATTTGCATTCATTTTCGCTTAATATCGTCCAAAATAGTGGGGCAGCTGCATTTGTTGTCAAAAAGGTTTAAAACTCCCTTTCTTTCTGGGGCAGGATCGTTACCTTATGTGATGGGCTTATGGAACTTTTTTTTTTTCTCTCTCCCCTCCTTAGTCAACAGTATCAGATTTAAAAGGATTTGTTTTAAAACCTTCTAATTTGGTAATCAGATTTAAATCGCCTTGGCGCGTGTAATCTGAATTAAAGATACTGTAAATGATTTTAAGCTTTCGTTAGCGGAGGGGAAGCACCAAGTTCGGCGTTGCTCAATTGAGGAAATATCTTGCAATGATAGCGGCGTTGGGCGATTTTTACCTTATTTTTAGGAGGGAGCGTTTTGCGGGCTGGGGGCACCCGCAGCCCCCGGTGCCCGCTGCGGGTCCCCAAACGTGTCCGTGCCACCAAATGCCACCGCGAGCATGGCATTGTTTGGGAACTTTGGTATCTCTCTGTGCGCGATAAAAGTGTTTGGGTTTGTAATCTGCTCTACTGTACCTCAAAAGCTCCGGGCTGATTATGAATACAGGAATTTTCTTTTAATTTCTCATGAATAGTTTCCATACACTTTGATTTAAGGTTATTAACATTCTATAGACAGTGGCATCTTTAATATGTGGCGATCGCTTCTAAAGACTAATCTCATTACCCTCAAATAGTCATAAAATATGATTTTATTATACTTACGTATTTAATTAGACGGCCAGCAATGTAATGGATTTTGAGATCGGGTAGAGCAACAGCTTTGATAATTCACTTATCTTTGGCAATAGTCATTAACCCCCAACACCAGCAAAATAGATTGCTTTCTAACACATCCCTTTTTTTTTCCCCTCTTTTCCCTCACCCCTTGGAGAAAGGGGATCCTGATAACACAAATCGGACTTTCGATTTTCACCGATTCACTCAGATATGAGCGCCGATAGTTCGGGAGATATTAACGCGGGGACGTGGGAAATTCACAAAAATAAATACCCAAAAATAAAAAAGGCGATTATTAAAAAAATAGTGCGAGGAAGTCGTAGCCCACACTGGGCGGAAAAGGCTCACCACTTGAGGAGAAGATATATAGGTATGGCATGTAAATATATATTAAAAATATATCAATATGTATGAAATATCAGTATATATAAGAATATCAGAATATATAGGAATATCAGTATATATAGGAATATCAGTATATATAGGAATACCAGAATATATAAGAATATCAATATATTTAAAAATCAATATATTAAAAAATCAATATATACCAATACATAAATATATATATAAATACAAAAATGTACATAAATACATAACCAGAAGTGTAAATAGATATTTCTATGGAGACACACAACCAGGGGTGCCCAGGGCGGACCTAGAGCCGGGGCTGGCTCTGCGTGCNAACAACCCCATGAGACCAATCCCAGATGCACCTGTTGCATTCCACAGCAGCAGATAACCATTGTTTGCATTTTGTTCCTGAGGCCTCCCAGCTTCTCAGGAGGAAATTCCAAAGGAAAGGATTTTCCATAAAAGATGTCTGCGACAGCCACTGAGCCAAATGATGTCTCCATCCCACAGCACCCCCAGGGGGCTCAGAGCCCCCAGTGCCCCAAACCCCAGCTCTGCAAAGGGGGTTTAAAAATCCCTTCCCATTTCTGTTAATTTCTGCAGCAGAAATAAATGCAGCCCTGCAAAGTGTCCATTTGCTGCCTCCCTCTCCTCTGGCTCAGGTGTGTGTGGAGCACAGACCTGTTGGAGGACTCAGCTCTCTCCTGCTCCTCGCCGCGATGAAGGAATTAAATACAAAATCTTCTGTAGGAAGCAATTGTGAAGTGTGGAAGTTTCTAGTCAGGCAAATAAATTGGATTTAAGTATATTACAGTCATAATCTTTTTCTGCCTCTCTCCAGACAGCCTTTGTACATGGAGAAATGAGAATGTATTCTCAGACAAATCTTGACCTGAGGGAGAAGGCTGCGGGAATCTGGATTTTCAATAACATAAGACAATAAAGCTCAGACTCCTAACCTGCCGCAATATGGTAAAAGTATAAAGAGCTTAGCAACTAATAAAAGAAAAGGGTCTTCCAACTCATATTTGAAGATCTAGACCCCCAAAAGGACACTTCATAAAGATCATAATGGGTTAGTCAGTATCTAACAGATACCATGTACCTTGTTGACCAATTGTCTGACAGTTGTCTTCTGCAGGCCTGGATATTAATAAGCCTCGTGTTGATTTCCTTGGGGTATTTTTTCTTCGTAATTGTACATCTCCTTGTTGTGACACTGCAGCCTGCTATGTATTTATTTAATGCCATTCCTACAGCAAAAAAAAAAAATTAAAAATAAAAATATCAGTGTACGTATGGCGTTGTTTCCCTGAGATGAGATGCACACACTGCAAATTTCCTCCCCCTCTGAGGCTGCAGAATCAAAGCCAGGCAGAGGGAGAGCTCCCGGACTTGGGGCAAAGAGGAAACCCAGATGTGTTTTCCCCTCAGGTGTGAATGTGTCTTACTCACTGCGTTACACAGGGAATACAAAGGGATTCAATTATCACCGCATTTTGATTTCCAATAATAACAAAAACTCCTTCTAGAAGGGATTCCATTAAGTAATGTTTTGACAGATAATGCTGGTGCAAAGTAGCTGTCAGTCAGTCAGGCAGCCAGATCAAGGGGAAGCAGATGCACCAGGCAGATCACAGGGAGGCTTAGGGAGTGAAAATGGAGCCTGCCACAAACTCCTCTCGCTAACAAAACAAAACAAAATAAAAGGAAACAAAACACAACAAAGGCAGCCCAGGGCCCCATCCTGCTCTCAGTGCCAGGGCAGCTCTGAGGGCAAGGAAAATGTCCTGGGGCTGCCTGGAGAGAGGGGCTGCAGCTGTGCCCAGTGCAGGGTGCTGAGGGTACCTGAGCCCAGGTACAGGGTGCTGAGGTGCCCAGTGCAGAGTTCTGAGGGCACCTGTGCCAGCCCAGTGCAGGGTGCTGAGGGCACCTGAGCTCAGATACAGGGTGCTGAGGTGCCCAGTGCAGAGCTCTGAGGGCACCTGTGCCAGCCCAGGTAGGAGCAAGTGCCACACTGGGGCACAGGAGGGAGCAGAGCGGGACTCCAGGCTCCCTTCAGGGTTTTGGCCAAGCCTCCCTGTGCCCTGCTCCAGCCCCAGCCCAGCTGATGGCCAGGACATCTCTGAGAACCCCAGGTTTCCCAAAAGCTGCTTTGCTTTGCCACTAAGCCAGGCTCAGGCCCTGTTTGCTGCAGGGCCCCTCTCCCATGGCCTGGAGAATCCCTGCAGCCAAAGGGGAGCTCCATCCCCCATCCCAGCACGGAACCCTCACTGGGCTGGCTGGGAGGGACCCCGAATCCCCCCAGTGCCCCCTGCCATGGCAGGGACACCTTCCCCTCATCCCAATGTCCAGCCTGGCCTGGAACTTCACTCCCCTTCACCACCCTCACCCCAAAGTCTGTCCTGTGATTAAGAACTTTCCTTTTGCCCCAAGTGCTGCACAGAACCCCACACAAACGCTTTGTCACATCCTCCTTTCACCTCTAACTCACCCTGGCTGTGCTGGTCACCGTTCCAGCCTCCACAGGATCATTCCAGGTGCTGCTGCCCTACAGGAATTCCTTTGGATTCCTCTCCTGAGGCTTCCCATGTCCTGCCCCCAACGTGGGATTCCAGGGATAAATGGAACAGCACCGTGGAGGCACAGCCTGAGCTGGAAAAGGCACAGGAGAGCACTAAGGAGAATAGCAAAATTACGAATATTTTGATTTATGGCAGCATCCAAAGCCACAGCAGAGTGTGATGTGAGCCTGATGCAGATGGGGCTGCTCCAATCCCGATCCTGGCACAGCCCAGGATAACATAAATTGTTAGAAGATAAATAAGAGATGTGTTTCAAGGCATTTGCTGAGGGGCCAGATTAAATTACAATTAATTACAGTCTTTAAAATCTCCAAACTTTCCATGCAAGTCCTGAATGAGCTCGTTGAAAACTTTTAGCTATAAACTATATTTGAAAAGCATTCAGCTTTTAAAAAATAGATTTTCTTTTGTCCACTGCTGAACTTCTCCTGGAAACTGAGCCCGAAGTTTAATATGGGATTAAGAGAGAAAATACCCAGGCAGAAGATTCAGTGCTCTTCTCTCTGGAATTTCATGGGTCAGACATGGCAAACTCCAGCTCCTTCTCCCAAAACAACCCCTCCATCCACCAGGGTTAAGAGATGGATCAACCGGCTCTGGAGGAAATCTTCAATTAAAGTGTTTTAACTGAAATTTCTCCATTTCTAGGTAAAATTTGGTGTGGGGAGGGAAAACCAAACAAAACAGTAAAAATTTCTGAAAGGAAGAAATGAAGTGAGGAAGGGATCTGATCCACCAGCTCCATATTCCTCCAGCACCTTCCCCGCCAGTGATGTGGGTAAAAATACCATTATTTATGGGAGATACATATTGGTATTTATTGGTATTGGATAAAAATATTGGTATTTATTGGTGTTGGAGATAAATATTTGTATTTATCAGTGTTGGAGAAAAATATTGGTATTTATTGGTGTTGGCGATAAATATTGGTATTTATTGGTGTTGGCAATAAATATTGGCATTTAGTGATACTGGATATAAATATTGGTATTTATCAGTGTTGGAGATAAATATTGGTATTTATCAGCATTGGAGATAAATATTGGTATTTAAGGGTATAGGAGATAAATATTGGTATTTATTGGTATTGGAGATAAATATTGGCATTTATCAGTATTGGAGATAAATATTGGTATTTATTTGTATTGGAGATAAATATTGGTACTTATTCGTATTGGAGATAAATATTGGTATTTAGGGGTATGGGAGATAAAGATTGGTATTTATCGGTATTGGAGATTTATTGGCATGGGAGATAAGTATTGGTATTTATAAATTCGGGGGATTTATTTTGAGGTGCTGTACTCATGGGAGAGTGCTGCAAATTATGGGACAAGGCAAAGGAATAATCCAGCTGGAGAATCCCAACAAAAACTGCTCCGGGACTGTGCGAGAGCCTCGAGGAAAATGGGAAATGCTTCCTTTAAATGGATTATTAATACACACTGAATAAAGCTCAAGGCGTTGCCATGCTCCGGGAAGGGTCCATGGAGGCGCGGGTTTGGGACATCTGATATCAGGAATTTGTTCCAGGATTAGTGGCAGGAGGATGCTGTGCCCTGGGAGCCCAGCAAGGACAGCTCGTGGCCTTGGCCTCCGGGGAGCTGCTTTTTTATTTGGCTTTTTTTAAACCCTCGGGCAGAGTTCCGAGATAAGAGAAGTGGAACTGAACTTAACGAGCAGCTAATTTTATCCTTTGTTTTGCCTGATAAACATCAGCTCGCAAAGTCGGAGCTGAAAACTGCGGCCACGCTTGGGAAGGAAATAACACGGTGTGTTTATAGTAAATAATCCTATTTTTAGTCATTTTGCACAGAACTGTAGCTGAAAGGTTTGGCTTCGTTCCCCCGCTTCACCTGAAGCTGTTTAGCTAAATAAATTTCCATAAACACCTTTTGCTGAACAAACATAAACGAGGTTTCTTTTCACCCCAAAACTCATTTGGACACAAGAGCCCCAGAGCAGCCACCCCTCCATGGAAGCAGGGCTGGGCACACACAGGATTGACACAAACACTCTGCCTGCAAGGTGAATTTTAACGCCACAGAAGTGCTGGGAATGAAGAAAATTCTGCGCGAGAATTTCACTTGTGGAGCCTGGGATGTGATCAAAGCTCCTCCTGAGACTGCACGAGGCAGAATTTGGGGAAAATCGGGAAAAAATGGGCACTGCCCATCCCTGGCAGTGCCCAAGGCCAGGTTGGAGCAGCCTGGCACAGTGGGAGCTGTCCCTGCCATGACAGGGGTGGCACTGGGTGGGATTTGGGGTCACTTCCAACCCAAACCAGGCCGGGATTCTCTAAAAACGCTGAACCTTCACCCCCTCAAACCCTCCAGCAGCTCCTGCAAAGCAGCACTGCTGGAATTTGGTGTGCCCAACTTTGGGAATGCTCCAGGCTGGAGCACGGGCACAGACAATCACATTCCAATGCCCCAGCATTGTATCTGTCATTTATTACGGTATTATCCCTGTATTTATCATTTATTATTATATTATCACTCTATTTCTCATTTCTAATAATATTATCACCGTATTTATAATTTGTTAAGATTATATCACTGTATTCCTCATTTATTCCAATATTATCACTGTATTTGTCATTTATAATAGTATTATCACAATATTTATAATTTGTGAAGATACTATCACTGTAATTATCATTTATTCTCATATTATCACTGTTTATCATTTATTGAGTTATGATCACTGCATATATCCTTTATTCCAATATTATCACTGTATTTATCATTTAT